ATCAGATTGAACTCATTTTCTTGACGAGAAACCGTAATCTGAACAGAAATACTTTCCAAGCCTTTGGCGTAATACATTTTTAAAACTTTATTTATATATATATATACATTAGATTGGAAAGAATGTATGCTAATTGACCTTCATAATATCTATATCCATCATATAAATTTTAAAAGAAAATTGTTTTTACAATTCACAAATAGCTGATATTAATAAGCATTCATCATCATGACTATTTGTACTTCAACTCGAAAAGTGTCCAAAGTTATGTAGCCTAATAAAATGTTTCAAAGAAGTTACCGTGATAAGAATAATAAAATGTAAGCACAATCTTACACATTATACACGCAAAAGCTCTAAACACTGTCATGTTAAAAGTACTAGAATCCATAAAAAGCAGCCAGTCGTTGTACATTTTATGCTTCAATAAAAATCCATGCATGTCACCTCAATGTCGTACCGTGTAAACAATAAACGCCGAACAGAAATTGCCCAAAATAATTTTTTACACATGATTTCACATTTCAAACCATGAAGCTTCAACAATAACACATATTGTGTTTGTGATAGACGTTAAAGTAAAATATAAATAAAATTGGAATATTTTTACAACGTAAAAGTTACGAAATTTTGCATATGAATGCAATAGAGAGTCTTGGAAGGTGGATGATTTACAAATTTATAAGAAATTCTAGTTCTGATTTATATAATTATTATATATGCGTTTATAATATAATATTATATAATCTCAAGATATTGATTTTTCAAACTCCATGATTTAAATTTGCTCTGACTATTTTCAATATTATCCAAAAATAATTTTATAATCTTTTTCAATACAATAGAAAGTAGTAGAAAATTTTGTAGGTGACTATAAGTAAAGAAACTAAATTCATCACAATATTTTAGATTATAGAATAGAAGACTTTTAAGTTACTCACAAAAAAACTTAACTACCAGTTCAATATACAATAAAGACACGAAAAGATTAAAATCAATAAAATTATAAATATAATTTGAAAATCCTACCTTAGCTTCCTCCTGTTTTCGATAAGCATATACCATCAAATTCTTGCGTTCAGTCTCCGTCATAACAGGTTCACGGCCTGGTGGACCTTCACCTTTCTTCTGCAGTTTTACAACTAACTGTAAAAAAATAAGTTTATGAATAAAATTATGTCACTAAAAACAACAAATTCAACTTTAGTTTTTCTAATAAATATAATAGAAATTCTAAAAGAAAGAAGAAAGAAATTCCAATAAAAAATATTTTTAAATTCCCGTTATAACTGTATTTGTAAATACAGTTGTTTCTAAAATACTATATTTTCGAAAATAAACGAAAAATTTTGAAATGATATAAAAAATAAACAATTTTTTTATATGTTTTCATAAATTTGTATTCTGGTAATTAAACTATAATATCAGTTAGGTATTTATAAAATTAAATTGTTAAAAAAATAAGAAAGACGCAATCATTTTTTTATAAGAATGGAAGGACGCGGAACGAAATGATTGGAAACTACTGTTATAGAGTATAATTTATTCCGTGTGACTAATATATGATTATAAACGATTCAAATTTTAACACTTTGGGAACGGCTGTCCACCTCAGTGGACAAACATACTCTGTGAGGCACAGGCTATTTTATAAACAATGACACAGTTTGCATCGAAAAGTTGAATAAATTACATATTGCAATGATAAACAGTATTGTATTTTGAAAATAATTTTAAATTATTTTTAGTAGTATTTTTAGCCTTTTTCTTTGCCATATGGTCTTTTTTTAATATTTAAAACGACCGAGCGCTTTTAAATATGGCAAAACGACTAGTAAATTTTGTGAATTAAGCGGTAGTGAAGATGAGTTTCAAATAGGAAATTCATACAGACAAATTTTACGAAATTGCTATTCGCACCGAAGATAGTGATGAATGTGATGATGATATTATCCAACCAACAAAAAGAAGAAGTTCGACAAGATAAATGAAGAGCGCGAAATCATTAGCGAATGCGCCGATTCTCCTTCAATAATCGAGTTTGACATACATCAACAAACACCCCGACTACAAATACCAAGCAATATAAGACATCCAATAGATTATTTTACTTTATACTTTATGAATGAATTATTAGACAATATAATAAAAAAAATAAACCATTATGGCAGCAAAAAAATGATGATGAATATAATTTTTATCAGTGGCATATTCTAAATTCTTCAAAAGAAAAAGGGATTGTATTGTCTGTTCTGACAGAAAAGCACCAGGAGAAAGGCGGTGAGCAACATTTTATTGTAAAACATGTCAAAATCAACCAGTTATGCATTTTAGAAATTGTTTTGAACGTCACCATTCTTTATAAAATGATCAAAAATAAATTAATATTAAAAATGTATGTCCTTCAATAACCACAAATTTTTACCAAACAAATTGCATAACATACACAATGAAATCAAGTTTACAGCCGGTACAGTAGATTGTTTTGAAATCGGTGCCGTCCCGAAAGTGTTAAAACTGTATTGATAGATTATGGGACCAAACAAAAATTACAGTTCTAAACTGTTATATAACAAGCTATTGAATAACATTTTATATTTAATCGGTGTCTAATAACAAAACTAAATACTGCAGTGGCTTCCAACCTTTTTATGTAATAGCATTCTCGAATAATTTCTCGCTGTTAATTATTTCATTTAATTATATCTTTATGTATATTTTTCAACATTACTATTACTTTTTAATACAGCAAATCGAAGATGTGCAATAAGTAAACGTTATATAAAAAAACTATAGTTAACCATAGAATCAATCTTACATCCAATCCTCACAAGAATAGTTATTTTGATATTTTATATTATTTAAAAATGTAAGTGAAAGTATCTTTAACGTATTGCTGATCTACTTCGAAAGTATTTATATTTGTAATTTTTCAAAAAAAAAATGCATAAATGGATGTTGCATAAAAGCATCGGAGAAAGATATATCCCAGTATAAATAAATCCAAAGCCACAAATCAGAAGAGATGGAAAACTTTTGGGATAGCGAGCAAAACAGTAAACTCAACAAAAATTATCTTATATATAAAAATGGAGCTCTCTTTCAAATGTCCGAATAAAACTCGAAAACGGCTGAATCGATTTGGCCAGTCTTAGTCTTGAAAAATTCGTGCCAATCCAGAGAAATTCCAAAAGGTGAGAAATTATTTCAAATCCGCGTAGAAACTTTTTATTTTTAATTTGAAAATTTTTGTAGAAGCGCAATCGAAATAAAACAATGGACAGTTGCTATTCCGTGAAATGTCAAACGTTTTTGACAGATGATGTTCAATTACGTTCAATAGGATATTTTACGTGAATATTATTTAATTATGATTAAATTGTAGTAAGTAGCTTTGTTTGTAGTTTTATTTATATATAAAAACGTTAGTAAACGGGCCGCAAGTGTTACTAGAAACTCAAAATATCAACTTTTTTAACTGTTAATATGAAAATTCACTTTTTGGCATATTTTTCTCAAACACGATGCTCTGAAAGATCACATTTGTATAATTATATACTCATTGGTATTTATAAAACATTTTCTAGGTTATATTATTTTTTATTTATGTTATTCAAATTCAAAACCTAATTTTTGGTATCGATCAAAGGGACATTTTGCCGAATAACATTTTCCCAGTTATAATTTCATAGAATTTATCGAGGAATAGATAATAATATATGAAGGTCCGGGGTTGAAAAGGTCCACCACCGAAGTGTCAAAAACCACAAAAGTTAAGCATTGTTTAACAACAATATTTGAAAGTAGAGGAAAAAAGATGTATAGCCAGCTACAAACTTGATTTGAAAACGATAATCTTTGAAATGGGAGAGATAAACGGTAATCTTTGAAAATCTATAATAAAAGTATTTTCTTCCATTGGTAGTTTTAGCATTAGTTAATAATGTAATTATTTTGTAAAATGCCTTTAAAATTATAATAAGGCTTTAAACCTTTTGCCACCTGCCCGTTATAAGTTACCCCGCATATAGGATAAAAAGGTCTAGATAACAAATTTTTGGAAGACATCAAAAAAGCACATTTCTACAATGATGAAGTAAAAGGCAGTTTTACTGAACGTAGTCAGATAATTGTTCGTTTGATATGTCTTATTTGTTGTTATATAATTGTTATGGTTTTCACAATATAGTTTATATTTGCTCAAAGTCAAATTGGACCTTTGTGCCTCGCCCTGCTCTACATATATACTTTTTATTAAATTTACTTTAATTCATCGAATGTTACTTACTAAGCAGGTAAAAAAAGAAATACTTTTTTGAATTTTAAATATTTATTTTCTATCTCTCCTCGCAAAAATTTGAAAATTTTGTATAAACTCAGTAGTATTATTTACAATTATACACAAAATCCAGAATCCAAAAACAATATGAAAAACTTGAAATGTAATCAATTAGTCGAAAGACCAAAAAAGACTTGGATGGTTTATACTGTTTCCTATAGAAAGTGTATAAATCTTCCAGTTTGATTGTATTGACAAAATATAGATAAACCAATGGGGTTTATTGTTTTTATAATACTTCATTGTATATAGCATTCAAACAACACATCCTTATACACTTAAAGTATTAATGTTTTTGATTCTCTAGAAATTGTCTAGAATATACCTTATTTAGCAAAACAACGTTTGCCGGGTCAGCTAGTATATATATATTATGTTAAATGTTAAATATGAACAATACAACACTCCGGATTTTAACACACACTTTATTCGGTTATAGAACATATAGGAGTTCTGATTGCTGTTCAAACAATAAAAAAAAAATATAGACTTCGGATTATCCGGACTTCCGATTAATTGGAATTCGGATTATCCGGAATTCGGATTATCCGGAATTCGGATTATCCGGAATTCGGTTATCCGGAATTCGGTTTATCCGGAATTCGGTTTATCCGGAATTCGGTTTATCCGGAATTCGGTTTATCCGGAATTCGGATTATCCGGAATTCGGTTTATCCGGAATTCGGTTTATCCGGAATTCGGTTTATCCGGAATTCGGTTTATCCGGAATTCGGTTTATCCGGAATTCGGTTTATCCGGAATTCGGTTTATCCGGAATTCGGTTTATCCGGAATTCGGTTTATCCGGAATTCGGTTTATCCGGAATTCGGTTTATCCGGAATTCGGTATCCGGAATTCGGTTTATCCGGAATTCGGTTTATCCGGAATTCGGTTTATCCGGAATTCGGTTTATCCGGAATCGGTTTATCCGGAATTCGGTTTATCCGGAATTCGGTTTATCCGGAATTCGGTTATCCGGAATTCGGTTTATCCGGAATTCGGTTTATCCGGAATTCGGTTTATCCGGAATTCGGTTTATCGGAATTCGGTTTACCGGAATTCGGTTTATCCGGAATTCGGTTTATCCGAATTCGTTTATTCCGGATTCGGGTTATCGGAATTCGGTTTATCCGGAATTCGGTTTATCCGGAATTCGGATTATCCGGAATTCGGTTTATCCGGAATTCGTTTATCCGGAATTCGGTTATCCGGAATTCGGTTTATCCGGAATTCGGTTTATCCGGAATTCGGTTTATCCGGAATTCGGTTTATCCGGAATTCGGTTTATCCGGAATTCGGTTTATCCGGAATTCGGTTTATCCGGAATTCGGTTTATCCGGAATTCGGTTTATCCGGAATTCGGTTTATCCGGAATTCGGTTTATCCGGAATTCGGTTTATCCGGAATTCGGTTATCCGGAATTCGGTTTATCCGGAATTCGGTTTATCCGGAATTCGGTTTATCCGGAATTCGGTTTATCCGGAATTCGGTTTATCCGGAATTCGGTTTATCCGGAATTCGGTTTATCCGGAATTCGGTTTATCCGGAATTCGGTTTATCCGGAATTCGGTTTATCCGGAATTCGGTTTATCCGGAATTCGGTTTATCCGGAATTCGGATTATCCGGAATTCGGATTATCCGGAATTCGGATTATCCGGAATTCGGATTATCCGGAATTCGGATTATCCGGAATTCGGATATCCGGAATTCGGATTATCCGGAATTCGGATTATCCGGAATTCGGATTATCCGGAATTCGGTTTATCCGGAATTCGGTTTATCCGGAATTCGGATTATCCGGAATTCGGATTATCCGGAATTCGGATTATCCGGAATTCGGTTTATCCGGAATTCGGTTTATCCGGAATTCGGATTATCCGGAATTCGGATTATCCGGAATTCGGATTATCCGGAATTCGGATTATCCGGAATTCGGATTATCCGGAATTCGGATATCCGGAATTCGGATTATCCGGAATTCGGATTATCCGGAATTCGGATTATCCGGAATTCGGTTTATCCGGAATTCGGTTTATCCGGAATTCGGTTTATCCGGAATTCGGTTTATCCGGAATTCGGTTTATCCGGAATTCGGATTATCCGGAATTCGGATTATCCGGAATTCGGATTATCCGGAATTCGGATTATCCGGAATTCGGATTATCCGGAATTCGGATTATCCGGAATTCGGATTATCCGGAATTCGGATTATCCGGAATTCGGATTATCCGGAATTCGGATTATCCGGAATTCGGATTATCCGGAATTCGGATTATCCGGAATTCGGATTATCCGGAATTCGGATTATCCGGAATTCGGATTATCCGGAATTCGGATTATCCGGAATTCGGATTATCCGGAATTCGGATTATCCGGAATTCGGATTATCCGGAATTCGGATTTTCCGGAATTCGGATTATCCGGAATTCGGATATCCGGAATTCGGATTATCCGGAATTCGGATTATCCGGAATTCGGATTATCCGGAATTCGGATTATCCGGAATTCGGATTATCCGGAATTCGGATTATCCGGAATTCGGATTATCCGGAATTCGGATTATCCGGAATTCGGATTATCCGGAATTCGGATTATCCGGAATTCGGATTATCCGGAATTCGGATTATCCGGAATTCGGATTATCCGGAATTCGGATTATCCGGAATTCGGATTATCCGGAATTCGGATTATCCGGAATTCGGATTATCCGGAATTCGGATTATCCGGAATTCGGATTATCCGGAATTCGGATTATCCGGAATTCGGATTATCCGGAATTCGGATTATCCGGAATTCGGATTATCCGGAATTCGGATTATCCGGAATTCGGATTATCCGGAATTCGGATTTCCGGAATTCGGATATCCGGAATTCGGATTATCCGGAATTCGGATTTCCGGAATTCGGATTATCCGGAATTCGGATTATCCGGAATTCGGATTATCCGGAATTCGGATTATCCGGAATTCGGATTATCCGGAATTCGGATTATCCGGAATTCGGATTATCCGGAATTCGGATTATCCGGAATTCGGATTATCCGGAATTCGGATTATCCGGAATTCGGATTATCCGGAATTCGGATTATCCGGAATTCGGATTATCCGGAATTCGGATTATCCGGAATTCGGATTATCCGGAATTCGGATTATCCGGAATTCGGATTATCCGGAATTCGGATTATCCGGAATTCGGATTATCCGGAATTCGGATTATCCGGAATTCGGATTATCCGGAATTCGGATTATCCGGAATTCGGATTATCCGGAATTCGGATTATCCGGAATTCGGATTATCCGGAATTCGGATTATCCGGAATTCGGATTATCCGGAATTCGGATTATCCGGAATTCGGATTATCCGGAATTCGGATTATCCGGAATTCGGATTATCCGGAATTCGGATTATCCGGAATTCGGATTATCCGGAATTCGGATTATCCGGAATTCGGATTATCCGGAATTCGGATTATCCGGAATTCGGATTATCCGGAATTCGGATTATCCGGAATTCGGTTTATCCGGAATTCGGATTATCCGGAATTCGGATTATCCGGAATTCGGATTATCCGGAATTCGGATTATCCGGAATTCGGATTATCCGGAATTCGGATTATCCGGAATTCGGATTATCCGGAATTCGGATTATCCGGAATTCGGATTATCCGGAATTCGGATTATCCGGAATTCGGATTATCCGGAATTCGGATTATCCGGAATTCGGATTATCCGGAATTCGGATTATCCGGAATTCGGATTATCCGGAATTCGGATTATCCGGAATTCGGATTATCCGGAATTCGGATTATCCGGAATTCGGATTATCCGGAATTCGGATTATCCGGAATTCGGATTATCCGGAATTCGGATTATCCGGAATTCGGATTATCCGGAATTCGGATTATCCGGAATTCGGATTATCCGGAATTCGGATTATCCGGAATTCGGATTATCCGGACTTCGGATTATCCGGACTTCGGATTATCCGGAATTCGGATTATCCGGACTTCGGATTATCCGGACTTCGGATTATCCGGACTTCGGATTATCCGGACTTCGGATTATCCGGACTTCGGATTATCCGGACTTCGGATTATCCGGACTTCGGATTATCCGGACTTCGGATTATCCGGACTTCGGATTATCCGGACTTCGGATTATCCGGACTTCGGATTATCCGGACTTCGGATTATCCGGACTTCGGATTATCCGGACTTCGGATTATCCGGACTTCGGATTATCCGGACTTCGGATTATCCGGACTTCGGATTATCCGGACTTCGGATTATCCGGACTTCGGATTATCCGGACTTCGGATTATCCGGACTTCGGATTATCCGGACTTCGGATTATCCGGACTTCGGATTATCCGGACTTCGGATTATCCGGACTTCGGATTATCCGGACTTCGGATTATCCGGACTTCGGATTATCCGGACTTCGGATTATCCGGACTTCGGATTATCCGGACTTCGGATTATCCGGACTTCGGATTATCCGGACTTCGGATTATCCGGACTTCGGATTATCCGGACTTCGGATTATCCGGACTTCGGATTATCCGGACTTCGGATTATCCGGACTTCGGATTATCCGGACTTCGGATTATCCGGACTTCGGATTATCCGGACTTCGGATTATCCGGACTTCGGATTATCCGGACTTCGGATTATCCGGACTTCGGATTATCCGGACTTCGGATTATCCGGACTTCGGATTATCCGGACTTCGGATTATCCGGACTTCGGATTATCCGGACTTCGGATTATCCGGACTTCGGATTATCCGGACTTCGGATTATCCGGACTTCGGATTATCCGGACTTCGGATTATCCGGACTTCGGATTATCCGGACTTCGGATTATCTGGACTTCGGATTATCCGGACTTCGGATATCCGGAGTTCTGATTGCTGTTCAATCAATAAAAAAAATATATATAAAAAAAAATGAATAAAAAAAAATACCTAACTGGCTTAAAAAAATGCTTAAACTAGTGGTGTATTTTTAAGGCAAATGAAATATCGGAACATCGGAACATCGGAACATCGGATAATAGGATTATCCGGACTTTATGCCTCGCCCTGCTCTACATATATACTTTATATTAAATTTACTTTTTTTCACCGAATGTTACTTGAAACTTTTCAAAAAGCAGGTAAAAAAAGAAATACTTTTTTGAATTTTAAATCTTTATTTTCTATCTCTCCTCGCAAAAATTTGAAAATTTTGTATAAACTCAGTAGTATTATTTACAATTATACACAAAATCCAGAATCCAAAAACAATATGAAAAACTTGAAACGTAATCAATTAGTCGAAAGACCAAAAAAGACTTGGATGGTTTATACTGTTTCCTATAGAAAGTGTATAAATCTTCCAGTTTGATTGTATTGACAAAATATAGATAAACCAATGGGGTTTATTATTTTTATATTACTTCATTGTATATAGCATTCAAACAACACATCCTTATACACTTAAAGTATTAATATTTTTGATTCTCTAGAAATTGTCTAGAATATACCTTATTTAGCAAAACAACGTTTGCCGGGTCAGCTAGTATTAAATAAAAATATTATATTCATACAAACAGACTTGGTTATCAATAACATAAGAGTTGCAAAACATTTGCCGTGCTTTGCTGTTTTTTTATTCGTCAATTATTACTAATAATAATTTACCTTGCACTTATCATTGCGACCCGCATATTCTGAAATTAGTTTTCCGAAACCGCGAACCATTTCTTTGCCAGAAAACCATAATTGAGCAGTAGCAGGATCCAAAACATCCAGAGAAGCCTGGGTGCCAGTCAAGTCCTCAATATTTTCAAATTCCTGAAAAATTCGATAATAATATAATTAATAACATAAATATAGAAAATTATAGTAAAAACTAGTGGTGTATGGCATCGTGCCTTAAGGCAATTTGCAGGAACTTCCCGTACCGTAACGAAATGATCGAGGTATATTCAATGTTTTCTAATATTTTTTTATAAATATTGCAATGAATTGCAAAGTGGAAATTATTTGTTTAAAGTATATTAGAAAAGAATTAAAATTAAAATCTGAATTATATACAAAAAAAAATCTTAAAAAATATTAAAACAAAAAAATTAGAAACAATGTTTTTTCTCCAAAAGCAATTATTTTGTTAAAACAAGCAGAAAGTTCTTTGAATCATTCAAATCGGACGCTTAGTTCTCTCAAAAATTGCCATTTTTTGCATATTTAGCGCTGTATTCTTGAAATGGCTGGACCTGATCATTACAAATTGAATGTTTTTTAGACCATTCAAATCGGATACTCCGTTCTCTCAAAAACTCGATTTGTATTTTCTGCACTTTTTGCTCCGTATATCCGTAACGGCCGGATCTGTCTTTGTCAAAAACTAATCAGCACATCTCCCTATCAATAGGAATCGAGTGTTTTTTGAACCATTCAAATCGGTTGATCCGTGCACCCGAAAACGTGGACGAAAAAATGCGGACATACAAAAAACACACACATGCATCCATTTTTTCTGAGGTATGCCAAAGTGTTCAGAAACCTTTATAACGTCCAATGCAAATAATTTCATTTTCGGCCCATTACTATAACTACTCTACGGGAAGTTAATTAAATTATAATTATAGTACTATATTAAAATATTAGTAAAAAATAAATATAATATTAGTTGAAAATAATGTAGTATTTATATTTCATAAAAAAATAGAATGAGCTTAAACTTGAGAACCGGTTTTGGTTTATACATTCAAAAACTATTCGAAAGATATCATTTGAGAATGGTGCTGATTAGTTTTTGGTAAAAATCGATCGGACCGTTTCTTTGTAGTTAATTGATAAAAAAAATAACCATTTTTAAAAATCTAGTATCGAGATGGAAAACATTGTTCTGGCAAAACATTCTAAAATAGTCTAAATATTAGACTATAATAAATGGTTTAATTATAAAAATCAATTAAAGTTTGGGTTAATCGGAACATACTCTGTATTTGTTTAGACACGTATTACTCATTGACGTACTATACTATATTTACAAACACTGTTATATACTCTCGTACTATTATGTACACAAATACTATTACTCATTGACGTACTATATTATATTTACGAACACTGTTAATACTCTCGTACTATTATGTACACCAATACTATTACTCATTGACGTACTATATTATATTTACAAACACTGTTATATACTCTCGTACTATTATGTACACAAATACTATTACTCATTCTCGTACTATTAGATTTACAAACACTGTTACATACTCTCGTACTATTATGTACACAAATACTATTACTCATTGATGTACTATATTATATTTACAAATATTGTTATATACTCTCATACTATTATGTACACAAATACTATTACTCATTCACGTACTATTATATTTACAAACACTGTTATATACTCTCGTACTATAATGTACACAAATACTATTACTCATTCACGTACTATTATATTTACAAACACTGTTATATACTCTCGTACTATTATGTACACAAATACTATTACTCATTGAGGTACTATATTATATTTACAAACACTGTTATATACTCTCATACTATTATGTATACAAATACTATTACTCATTCACGTACTATTATATTTACAAACTCTGTTATATACTTTCGTACTATTATGTACACAAATACTATTACTCATTCTCGTACTATATTATATTTACAAACACTGTTATATACTCTCGTACTATTATGTACACAAATACTATTACTCATTGACGTACTATATTATATTTACAAATACTGTTATATACTCTCGTACTATTATATACACAAATACTATTACTCATTCTCGTACTATATTATATTTACAAACACTGTTATATACTCTATTACTATTATGTACACAAATACTATTACTCATTCTCGTACTATATAGTATAGTATATAACAGCGTTTTTAAATATAATATATTTACAAACACTGTTATATACTCTTGTACTATTATGTACACAAATACTATTACTCATTGACGTACTATATTATATTTACAAACACTGTTATATACTCACGTACTATTATGTACACAAATACTATTACTCATTTACGTACTATATTATATTTACAAACATGGTTATATGCTCTCGTACTATTATGTACACAAATACTATTACTCATTCTCGTACTATATTATATTTACAAACACTGTTATATACTCTCGTATTATTATGTACACAAATACTATTGCTCATTGACGTACTATATTATATTTACGAACACTGTTATATTATATACGAGTTATATAATGGTTTACTATGTTCAAGTTATTGATCATGTCGATTATTTATACATATCAGGAAGTTCATGCAACTATCCTTAACGCAAAATGCCACTTACACTTAGTTTGAAAAATTTTGGTTTTTATTTTTGTCCTATCATTATATAAGCTTTTCAATTCAATAAAAACAATTTATAGTTTATGACGTCGTTCGAATTTATTCTAGACTTCTATTCATGACCCCACACAACACGATAGTGGCTATCAGATAGCCTGTTTTCACAGAATGCATTGCGAATTAGTCCAGTTTGTACGTTAAATTCGAGTCGTTTCTTAAATAGAAACTTACGTATTACTATAGCAGTAATTATATAGCAACAAATAATAAGTTAAATCTAATACTTACTCTTTTATTCGCAAATATTTCCGATAAAATCACACAAACACACGCGGCGTCATCAACTCGGACAAAATGGCACTCGGAAGAATTAACACGACCGACCGACAACAACAAGTGCTACCCGATTACTAAATTTGCATAATTTTTGAACATCTATTGTCCTTATCTAGGTATTACCATATATGGTCACAAATCTCGTGATGACGTCATACAAAAGGAGAAATTTATAACAGATTGAATGCAAAATATTTCACTTAAAAATAAGGCTGACGATATAAATAGAATTTTCATATTTTGTGCAACGATTTTATTTAACATTAATAAGCTAGATGTAAGTGGTATTTGGCCTTTACAATAAACAATAAAAATAAAAAATAAAATATTTAAAAGCACGTACGACGAACAAAAGATTATTTTCTTGAAAACTTGAAATCAGTAAAACAATTCTTTGTTAATTTTATGTATGTTTTTTATTTTGTTGAATCATTTGCGTAGCAAATATTCTCTATCTTATTTTAATCTAATTTTTATAATTGATTGTTTATGCTATGTACATTATTTTGTACATGTATATTTTTTCAACATTTGCTTTGTCATACTCAAGTATTGTTTTTTTTATTATTTTATAAATAATAAATTTATTTAATTCATATAATATATACTATACTATTTTTTGAATTTAGTTTTGCACTTTGACCCATTAAAGAAGAGATAAAAAGCAGAACTAATTTAATTTTTTCGATTATAACTTAGTTTTTTTTATTTAAATTGCATTCTTTATTGATATATCAATAAAATCGATATATCGATCTTTAAATAATTAATGTTTTTAAAGTGGATGAACTTTTATTCCAGTGAGTGTCATCTACACAAGACAATTGTTTTAAGTTTTCATTACCATGTATAATCAGATAAAATAATTTGGTTGTATGTATTTTCCTGAGATATCTTTTGGGATTAGATGTAAAAAGATATAAATTGCATCTTCAATGGCTATATATTTCATCTATACAACAATAAACATCCTAAAAAATTAGAGGCCTAAGAAAATTGGTTAAATTAGAACAAATCATTAAAGTCTGAAGTAATGGGCCTCACTATAATTAACACAATTACAGATATTATAAGTTTATTTGAAAGATGTCAATTGGAAATACCTTTGATTAGTTTTAACAAAAAGAAAAAACTTTAGTTCAAAATTTTAACTTAAGGGGGTTGTTCTTTTTTTATTTTTCTTTGTTTCGGTTTTGAGATTTTTTGATATTATGAAAGATAAAACCCTTAGAATCATTTCAAAAAAAAATCATCTCAATATCTATTTTTTTGACGAAGTTATAGATATATATATCTCTATATGTATGATCCTCTGAAAGCGTTTTTTTATCGCTCCTCGAGCTATTGTATGCCAGATTCCTCTTTTTCATTATAAAACCTCATGCACATGACCTTTTTAATGTGTCAGCATCTTTGAACACCATGGTGTATTTAGTACATTAAATTAAATGGTGTATTCAGTACATTATATTAAGAACTTTAAATACGTTTTTCTCAAATTGACTTTTTTCAATGCGGTGCCACAAATTAAACAAAAACTACAAGTCGGATCGACTTGCATTTTTTTTTAATTTGTTCACCACTGCAATACCGAGTCCCCCTACCTCAAACAACTTGATAACATTACGCAAAAAAAATTTGCGAAGCTTCTCGCCCCCAAAAAAGGCCTTTTTTGACACTTTTTTTTTAAATAGCTGCCATTTTTTTCCTTCTTGCTTTTTTTCTTTTATTTTGGTAGGGGGACTGGAAACAAACTTCTTCTTCAACGTAATTTATTTTTTTTTGTTTCGGGCGATGCGCAACGGATTTATCTGTGGCACCGCAAAAGAGATCGTTTTTGCAAGACCGACTTTGGCGCCCCCTGGTTAAAAAATGACGGCGCAAAAAGAAAAGAAGAAAATCACGTAATATTCTATGATTTTGTAATTTTTGTTTAAAAAAAACCGCATGTCTCTATGATAAATACATTTCGAGGAAAAACAAAAACAAATACCTTGCATTTTTTGTAACGAAAAAAGAACAACCCCCTTAAGGCAAAATGCCATTTATAATTTGAAATTAAATTTCTTACCAATCTTATAGGATCATGTGGCGGCAAATTCATAGGATACACAATGGTTATAGCACCTTTCAGTAATTTAATAGCTTCATGTATTGTTTTGATTGTAACTTGTTCATTTTGATCGACTAATTTCTAAAAAAGAAATTCTACATTAACACACATATATACCATCGATCAAAAAAGTATTTTATTTAGAATTAGAAATTTTGTTTGTGCATGATGTTCAATATTCCAATTAAAAATTATGGAATTGTGATTTTTTAATGTGATTTAAATATAAGAATGCATAGAAATTAATATATATATATATATATATATATATATATATATAAAGACAAAAAAAATATTTTATTAAAAATAACTCACTCGGCTGGTCATTGCTTTAACGTCTTCGATGGTCTTGCTGATCATGTCTTGTAAGTGCTTGTGAGGCTGACGACCATTTCTGCGCCCCATGGGATCTCTGAATAAATAAAAACAATAATCATAAATAATTGCTTTACATTAATTAAATATAAACATTCATTGGCTTTTAGATTTATATAAAAAACTTAACTTCTCGTTATTTTATTGGCTTTATATGCTATTTTCAAATTATTTGCGATTTAATAATTACTATCCTTTCTTATTCATTCTTTAAATGTGTATAAATAAAAGCATAAGTAATGAAAATTTATAAATCGCCATCATAAAATTTGTGAGCGTTAATGCTTAAAAATTACTATATAGTAGCTTAAAGAAAAAATGCTTAAAAGCAATATTATACGTACATATGAGACATATGTATATAATATTCACTTTTATGTAATTATTTATGTGTTACTTATCAAACAAAATCAAAAAATCTGCGAAGGATTCAAATGTAAGAGTCGTATATTATTCCGTTTTGTGAAGGTAACTTTTTCAGATATTAATTAGCAGATTTGTTACTCTGAACACATGAAAATTAAAACGTGTCGAAAAACGTGTTCGATATATTTTTTATATGCTTATTTTCGATATATATATTATTTATATTACTTATTTTCGATATATCCACCACTAGGAATGCATTTGTCCGCCCATGGGTCAACCAGTTTGAAGTCTCGCACCTGATCCTCATTCAAACCTAAAATTTCTGGCGGAAACATAACACCATGCTTGGCTAATTCTTCCATCTCTAAAATATCAATTATTTGTCTATCAAAATAATATGTCATAAAATTTAAATTTCATTATATTATAATTATTTTATTTCTTTCTATAACTTGCCTGCACAAATACGACTAATTTTCAGTCGACCGTTAAATATTGACACTATTTCAGCTAAAGCCGTATCAACCGGCGTATTAATAGGTGTTTCATATAAAAATTGATTTTCATCGCCACGTTTTACTCGAAGTAACACCATTATGTATATTTAGAATAAAAATATGCAAAATATTTCTGGAAATTTTTACTCAAGATGTTTGTATGTTCAATTATTTTCCGAACTTGAAGTAAACAAAAAGACCGTTTCCTTGGAAACGAAAATAAATGAAAGTTCTCAATTGATAAATTTAGATCAATAAGTATTTACTACTAACTAAAACTTATTCAAACATCAATATAAAGTAGAGGAACAATTAATTTTAAATTTTGTTATACTATTTTAAAAGAAATTATGAAGGAGAAATTAATAATTTCGTAAAAAACGTAGTCGTACTCGAAGGATAAATTTATATTTTTGCTAAAAAATAAGTGGCTTGCCAATTTTATATTATCTCGATGTTTGACACCAAATTTAGGAAAAGTACAACCTTTTGCTCAGAGAGCTGAACGAATTTCAAAAATTTAAAACGCAAACTATTCTAATTTTATTTTGCTATATATTTATGATCTTCTATTGAAAATTTATTATTAAATATAACTAAAATTAATCATAGTTGATGCTTCATTTCAATTTACATTCACCTATTTAGGGTATATTATTGATCGTATTTAATCATTTTATTGAAATTTATATGTAATCCTGCCTTTTGCCTGAGATTAATACTAAATATGATAAAATATTTTTTCATATAATGAAAACATTTTAATTTATAATATTTTATTTACCATTACATAAATATTTAATTCATCTTTTTCATTTATCTTTCATTCCACAAAGACATCATAAAAATATTGTATCTGTACAGTATATTGACTATAGTTTTATATAAGTTGATGTTCCAGGATACTGTGGCAGATTTAAATCATATTTATCTTGCAAACTCTTTGGAACAAATAAACCACCTAAAAACATTTTAATACAGAAAGTATAGTATTTAAATTATTATAATTATACAGTAAAAATTTAATCTTAAGTATCATGGATAGATATATTATACCTAAATAATGGTGGCCATTAAACTTGTGTGCACATTTTTTTGGTGCTGTTAATGATATAAGCATCTTTGGATTTATTCCTCCACTTTCTGGACAGCCTGTTTCAACATCCCACCCACTTGGAATATCAATGCTAAAATGATAAAATTATTCATTTCACATGATTATAAGCATTGAATTTGAAATTAAAATATTTATATTGCTTATTTCAAAACTACCTCACAATTGGAATTTTTGTTTCTATCATTTGATTGATTATATCTTTGAATTCATCTCTAACAGGAGGCTTGAAGCTAAATCCAAATAATGCATCAACTATTAAGCCTAATTTATGTGTCTCTGTGATTTTATGGCTTGATTCTATTTGCGGAATATTATTTCTAGTACACTGATGCAAAAGATTCTGGTATAGTTCTTTAGGAGTTTGTTTCGGATAGTATAAGAATGGACAATAGCCAGTTAAGGCTAAATGTCTTGCGGCTACTAATCCGTCACCACCATTGTTACCTGGTCCACAACAAACCAACACATTTTTACTTTCTAAACTGAAAAATAGGCAAAAAAAAATAAAGAAAAAAGGATGGCTGAAAATGGACTTTCGATAATAATTTTTATTGTGGTTTTGGATTCTTCTTGAAACCAATTAAATAATGTCATGCGCATGTCTATTTTCATATAAATTTATTCAATTTATTAATTTAGGCAGAATTTTTTTCATTTTTATATTGTAAATATAATTTTAACAATTATTATGCAAAGTAAATGAGAATCCTGCCTTATATGCAAGCTCAAAGTCAATGTGTATTGGATAAGCCTGATGATAAGCAGAATTATTGTGTAATTACACTTAAAATTGTTTGGATATCAAAAATATCTCATTGGTACTTATTTCGTCCGATTATAACTACATTATTTACATTATAAATATGATCGGTTCAAATAACTGAATAGTTATTTATTGCAATGACATCCATCGATAAAACTGTAATAAAACAGTTATATGTAAAGCTAATTATCATCATCATCGTAGAGTAAATAAACGAACTAATTAATCTTACATTGTGATGAACTAACCTATCAGGAGGATAGCAATTAGATATAGCAGAAGAACAACTCAAACCAGCAAGTTCCATTAACTGGCCAACGCTAAATTTATACTCATTGAATAATTCAACATCAATTTTTGTAGCTTCATCTTGCGAAAGGTATTTCATTTTGGTCAAACAGCTTGTTTGTATTTTTCTAACTTGAGATAACTGAAATTGTATTCAAAAAATTAAGTACATAGAATATAGTACTAACTTGTATATTCGAATTGAGTAGAAATGCTCACAAGCATATTACTTTGTTATGCTATAAAATCAAATAATTAGCATATTTTAGTTTAAATTTTGCTGTTTTATATTATTGTCTGGGATTATAACCTAACATGACTGTCAATTACGGGTCAATTACTAATACGTCAGGTATCAGTTGATACAAGTTGCATTTTGCAGCTCTGTTCCAATTCGACGATGCAAATAATGAATTTAATCGCTTATTACTATCAAAATCTTCATTACTAACTCTTAATATCTCGTATCTATTTAGGGGTCGTCTCTTAGAAATATTTCTCCGAGACCGATACGAATTTTTCTAACCTTTTCTGCCCTGATACACCTTTTTTAACTTCCCGTAGGGCAAGTTATGGTAATCGCAAAAAAATCGAAAATGAAAATTTTTATATATCTTTACGTTTCAAAGGTTTCTGAACATTTTGGCATACCTTAGAAAAAATGGATGTATGTATGTGTGTGTGTGTGTGTGTGAGTGTGTATGTGTGTGTATGTATGTGCGGATACAAATTTTCGTCGACGATTTCGGGAACACGAATCAACCGATTTAAATAATTTAAAAAACATTCGATTCGTATTCATAAGGAGACGTGCTGATTAGTTTTTGGCAAAGGTAGGTCTAGCCGTTCCGAAGATACGGGGCAAAAAGTGCCGAAAACGGTAACTCAGTTTTTAGGAGAACGGAGGGTCCGATTTGAATAATTCAAAAAACATTTTAAATATTGTATTGACAAGATGAAAAATTCATCAAATTTTCATGAGGACAGGTTTAGCGGTTTCGGAGATCTAACGAAAAAAGTGAAAAAAAATGCCATTTGGCGGTCAAAAATGATCATTAGACATATGCACATCAAATTATCAGATATTTTATAAAGATTTTAACAATAAGTACTGTTCAAAATTTGTTACACTCCCTTTACGAAAGGGTATTGTACTGTTCAAAATTTTGGAAAGGCAGGTCCAACGACTTTGGACATATGGAGAAAAAAGTAAAAAAATGAGCCATTTGGCATAGTCAAAAATGATCATATCATTAGACATATGCACATCAAATTATCAGATATTTTATAGAGATTTTAGCAATAAGTATAAATTTTATTTACATTCCCATGGATTCCGTACCAATGTTTACGCGATAGACGGCGATGAGGCGCTTACGCGCTTTGATATTTCGTCTTTATGCAGTGAAAGCAGTACGATTGCTTTGAAAAAACCTTCAGAATTGCCAAAATATGTCAAAATGAAGAAAACATTTTTCTTTTCAAAAAAAAAAATTTTTTTTTAAAAAGTAATTTTTTTGTCAAATTTATAGTTTCTCAAAAATCTAATTTTTTCGAAGTAAAATTTTTTCAAAAATGTTAATTGTTTTTAAAAAAATAATAATTTTTGGTACGGGAAGTTTCAGCAATTTGCCTTAAGGCACGATGCCTTAATTGCGTTAAGACAGAATTCCACTTACAGCTAGTTCTAGTTTTATAACTTATTGTAACTTCAAAGGGCTATAGTATTATGAATAAACCGTTAAAATGAAGCACTGCACTCAAAAGTAATTAAATACGTTTATGCTAAATTATGTTTGCCCATCTACATATTTTATACATATTTCTATATTGTCTAGGTCTATCTCTCTGCTGTGCATTTAAAAATATACAAATCAAAACAAGGACATCAGGCTGTATCCTAGACAATATAATAATATTTTTTTTTTTTTATTTTATTTTTCATAGCAAGCTATACAAAGTACATTCAGCTACATTTGTTACAGTTATATATTATTTGACTACGTGTGAAGGCTCGCTATCCTGCGATAGCGCCTTCTTAGATGTTATGTTATATTTTGTAGTAAATCATTGCAGATTCTTTTTTTGAGACGCTTTGGTGGTAAAGCCTTGAGCAGATCTAACGCTAATACGTTTAGATGACGACTTAGACGAGCTTTGTATCTGGTGCAGTAAAGACTAATTTCTTCTTCTATAGTTCGAATCCTGAGATCTTGATGTATCAATCAATTGGGAACGTATTTTGAAGCGTTCACGATTTATTTCAAAATGTTATTTTGGAACCTTTGTGGAATAGTTATGTTCGATTTACTGGCCGCACCCCATAATTGTACGCCGTAGGACCATATTGGTTTAATAATTGTCTTGTATATTAGGAGTTTAACCAATTAAGTTGCCTACGTGTTAATTCAAGCTGCTGACACTTCTTTAGAATATGTTCATGCCAAGTTAATCTTCTATCTAAATGTATTCGCAGATATTTAACAACATTGGATACAGGCACCAAACACCATTCAATCTAACAGGGGGGCATGAACCTTGACGTAAGGTAAAAATAACGTGAACTGATTTAGAGTTATTAACTTTTATTCTCCATAGTTTCATCCACTTTTCTACTTCATCTACATGTTTTTGTTGAATTGCCGAGGCAAGCAAATGGTTTTCATGTTGAGCTAGAATTTCCGTATCATCTGCAAAGGTAGCAATCATGGTTTCTGCATTTGTAGGTATATCAGCAGTATATATAATGTAAAGCAGCGGACCAAGAACACTACCTTGGGGAACTCCGGAAGAAATATTTACATTAGATGAAGCATCATCAAAAATGATGAAGAACCTTCTATCACACAGATATGATTTTAGGAGGAGATAATAGTTGTATGGTAAATTCTTCTTTAATTTGTACAACAAGCCGTTATGCCAAACTTTATCAAACGCCTGACTGATGTCAAAAAAAGGGCTGAACAATATTTCTTTAAGTGAAAGGCTTTATAAATGGAATCAACAACTCTATGTATTTGTTCTATTGCTGAGTGTTGTCTAATGAACCCAACAGATCCTTTTCATGTATTTATAAATTTATGAGTATTATTTCAAACATGAAACAGTTTTCTCCATATTCTAGAAGGTTCAAAGAATTCTTTAAGCCTTTTAATCAATTCCTTGAAAAACTGTATAGTGCTCTTACCTCCTAATAAACAGGAAACCAAAAGTATACAAATGTACATTGATTTGATATACATATATCCAGTTAATGTAGAAAAATATTAGATTATCTACTGTAGAATATTGGAAACTAAAAATATACAATCTTGCAAAATATGCTAGTTATTTTTGAGAAATAATTTAAAGTTATACAGTTGAAGCAGTTTTAAATTCAGCCATTAAGATGATTCCTGGAATTCCTGATTTGATGGAAAATCATCAGCATTGAATAAGTTCATTTATATGGTAGATTAGTCTAGGCAGGGTTTAAATTCTGCAACAATTTAAAATAGTGGTTATTTCCTTAAAACTCAAAATAATCTGACAACTAAAATAATCTGAAAGGACTAAGGCGGATTCCAAACACCTATGCTAAAACTTCTTAGAGAAGAAAGCTTTTATTAATAAATAAATAAATTAAATTTATAATATTAATGTTTCAGTTGAAGAAGTTATAGCATCATATATAAAAGTATTATGTAAAGGTTTAAACTGCCTTGTAACAATTTTAATAACTTCTTGTGTAACACATCCTCCTGAAAATAATTTTATGTGAGTTCAGAATTGATGAGTTATATTATATATAAATTAAAAGAGTCGATATAAACCTATAAATGCAGAAACACTATGTATTTCAGATCCTCCATATCGACACAGTTCATGGGACAAGTCTTCTCGAGGTATAGCTGAACAACCCCAATCAGATATCAGTTTTGAAACACAAGACTTTAGACGGGCTGCATCAGGTTCCATCTGACCAGATTAAGCAGTCACAATATTTTATTAAAAAATATAATCGAATTAATTGCATTATTCTTGATCATTCATGCAAGAAAAAAATATCTTAAGATACGGAAAAAATAGCTTTCTAATATATAATTTCTGGAAGTTATATATTACATACAGTTTTTGAAAACAAAAAAATTATACAAAAATATTAGCATAACATGATTATTATCTAATCTAATCTGAATAATTATTTTTTTTTATTAAATAATCAAGATTTCTATACACTTACCTGACATTCTCCAGGAAGCACACCATATTCCATTAAAAATCTCTCAGTAGCCCTCAGTGTCACATAGTGTTCCATCAAACTACTTGGATTTTCGAGTCCTGATGCTATAATATATGTTATTATAAAAGATATCATACCAGAGTTTAGATTGAAGTATTTAATTGGCTTACCAACAATATTTGCTATAGTTGATTTGTCATATTCATCTGATATTTTAGTGCCACGCACCAAATGTAATGAATTAGCATTTCTGCAGAATATTTTTATATCTTGCTCACTAACGTAATCATAAGGTAAATCTAATTCTTGAATCAAATCTTGCACATATTTCATTACAATTTCAACGTCATGATTGAATTGGTTCTTATATCTGTTAGAATAAAAATATTTATAAAATTGTAAAGGAATAAATATCAGCATAAAAAATATATTGTAATACACTTGTTGCAATGCGATGTATGATTTAGTGTCAGCAGTCATATCTGGAATAACGCCTTCAACTGGTAACCATCCATTTCCTTCTTTTAATTCAAACTTTCTAACAGCATGAGCCATCACCCAAAATGGAGTTGACTGAAAAACAAATTATCTTAATTACTAAATTTTAATATCTACATCATTGCATTTTATTATTATCATATATAAACTAACATTTCGAGATAGATTTAAACAGCTATCATCATCTAATATTTTTCTAATATCACTTGTTGCCTTTCCACCTCCAAGATTCGAGTTGACTGCACGTATGGCCTCTTCGTAATTTTCTTCATCTGCAGTCATACCTAAAATACATAAAACAATTGTGTTAAAAAATAAAAACATATGCTATAAAATATAGTGCTATGTACGAACATTACTTTAAAAAAAAAATATGTAAAATGGTTGAATATGAGCATTGACACTGTGGGTAATGATCACATGTAAGTAATTGAATCATAAAAGTTTTTAGATATAATTCAATACAATATAATAATAATTAATTAGAATATAATATGACATGTTTCTGTTCTAGCAAAAAAATAGGAGTTTGTACAAATATTATTATGCTAATAAATTAAATATTAATTGAAAGAATTTACCTGCTTTAATTAAGTCCTTCAATTCTGTTTTTTCCTTATATGTTTTAGGAATTCGACCTTCATTTGATTTGCGCCATATTTGTAAGTAATGGTACAGAATTTCTATCCAAGGAGTTTTTGAGGATAATTCTGTTCTCTGTAAAATATAATTTATATAAACATATAAGTTCAAATATTACCAGTACCTTTATATGTATCATAAATTGAATTGAACATTATTATTTAAACAAAGCTCTGCATTCTTACTCTTATTATCTTATATTTCACTCTTATATAGTGAAAAATAAATTATGTATAAAAGTTATGCTTTTATAACAATACCTGAAAATGCTTCTCTAATGCTGGGAAAGGTTCTACAAGACGCAAATCAGAAGATTTGTTGTCTGGATGTGATTCTACAACTGTAAGCTCTTTGATTTGAATTCTCAATGAACCCATAAAACCAATACTTCGACAGACTATTAATGGTACATTTAACTCCCATAGATGATTTGATAATTGAATGGTCGTTCTGAAAAAGTGAACTATATCAGTTTTTCTACCAAGTCAACACCGTATAATCTCTGATAAGATATAATTTAATATTGAAATTATTCTGTCAAAAACTGTTTTAGCTGTAAGTTGTAAGCTGTGCATAAATAATTTCTAAATATTTCTTTTAATTGGATATATCTTTAGAATAAAAATATTTTCATACTTTTCTGATAAAGATGTGGCTACTACAACTTTGAAGTTTTTGAAAAAGTCTGGATTTTTTTCTAACAACTGTTCAGGGCTTTCATCAACATAATCTCCTCTTACGTCAGGATTTAGTTCGAGTAGTCCCCTTGCACAAGCCTGAGCTCTAGATTGCCCAACACAATTTAATTCCAGGAAAAAACTAAAACAAGCAGAAAATAATCATTAACATACAAAAATTATACATGTGCACATATAATTAAATTCTATAGTAATTTTTTATTTGTATAAACACATTTATATTGTCAATGTTCTGACTTGCATCCAACGTCTTCCTCAGTGACTGTTTTCTCATCTACAATAGTAAATCCACCAACACCGGGTAGAATTAGGCCTTTCAGAATTTCACTTCCCAGAGCAGTGGCATTTATTACACATATCTGAGCTTGTTCCAATAATGATTGACCATTTTCGCCCCACAGCCTAATTGCACAAAATTTGTAAATGTTAATAAATTAAATAATGTTGCAATAGTTAATACGTTGATGTAATACCGTATTTGACGATCATATTTTTTGCTTTTTTCAGACATTTCTGGTGATTTCGGAGCAGGTGAGGACATTTCATTAAAAAAGTTTTTAATATAATTGTAAAGGTAAGTATCAACGAAAATTAGGAACTGTCAAACACGAATAACCTGAAATGTTATGTTTTAGTACGAGAGACGCCGACATACAGCGTTACACCTGACTAATTTCAAATAGGGATCAATACACAAATATTGTTTAATTACAAATGTTCTCGTATTACAAATATTTAACTATTGATAATATTATTAGATATTTACATATTGATTTTTCAATAAATGCAATATTTTGGAAAAATTAAAAAAATATTCAAAATTCGCGCCCATTTATCTTCTACAAAAAATCAATATTTTCAATTAGCAGAAACTTCAGTTGAGTTTTAAATTTTAACTGTTTAACAACCGATGAGCTTTGTGTCAAAAATATTGTCCTTGTCACTAGCACATTTTAAAATTAATATCTGCTAATTAAAAAAGTTAATCTTGTTCATATCTAAACATTTGAGTTTTATTTAGTTTATTTTATATTTTTGGTAATAGCTTTTATAATGGACTTGTTTTCCTTTGAAAAAACTCGTGAAGAACGCTTAGAAGAATATTTACAAATCTTACGGTTTAATGATGAACCCTTACCTGCATCTAGAGTTAGGTATAGTAAAATATTAAATTGATGAATCAATGGTTTTATAATTATTTTGAAACCAAAAATAATTTTCAGATCTGAGTGGTCTGATTTTCTGGAGATCGAAATGGAATCGTCTGGCTGGCAAGCTATTTGGAAAATTCCAAGGGATCTTTGTGAACAGTTCAAGATACATTATCCTAATTTAGTTCTTGTTATTGTGAAAGAAATTTGTTATAAATTGCTTCTAGCCACAGTGACTGTTATCGGTGTAAGCAATCGAACTAATACAGATTACACTTTGTAATATTTGTGATTAACAAATATTACAAAGCATGCTATATATTATTTATGCATGTTATATATTATTAGGTTCAAGATGATGACATTCATTTACCGGAAACTTTGGAAGCAGAACTAATAGAATTATGGCCCACAAAATCTCAAGAATATGATACTCTAGACGTGTATCGCACTGCAGATTGTTTGGATAAATTTAGGTATAATTCTTTTTAACATAACATATTTTATTGTAATAGTTGTATAATTTCCTCGAGCTGATCTATGTATATAAATCAGAATTAAATTGTTAATTTAAAGTCTGATTAGTAATAGATTTTACTAAATTTTCTTAAAGATTCTTTTACAATAACATTTGGATGCCGTGGGACATGTGCATGGATGACGGTATTGATTGGCCAGAAGAACATCTCAAACCTAGATTAGATTTGTACTTTGCCCTACATTCAGGAGAAATTCCTGGACCAAAATGTGCATATATCAAAGGCCTTATAAAAGAAGCAAAATCATTACAAGATATGAAAAACAATATTGAAGCTGAAATGAGCGATAATGAAGAAGAAGAGCCTAATGGTACATTAATTTTCTTATTATTATAACCTTGAAATTGGGTTCAGAATTTATATTGTTGAATATTTTTATTATTTTAGATCCTAAAACTGCTAAACTCCTTTTAAGAATACATTTTCAACTGAAGCAGTTACAAGAGCAAATTGAAATTTGTGAAAATAATAAAATGAGGGATCTACTAGATATTTCAGGTTCGGCTGATACATCATTTGGCAACAGCCAAGTAGCAGATATATATTTTGTTTCACCAATTTGTACTGTTGAAGATCATTTAAAATATGTGAAAAAATCCCAAGAGTTCATTCCTAATACAAGTTTAGTTGAATATTGCCACAATCTAGAAACAGTTTTAGAATCTTGTGGCCATGATAACACCGTCATTATATCTCCTGGAACTTATGCCATTCCATCCATGATCAAAATCAGAGAGAAATGTGTAGTTAAGGGAATATATTCTCCCAGCGAGACTAAACTTCAGACATTAATTGAAAACTCATATTTCATTAGTACTTTTCGGAATGTAGTTATTGAAAACTTAACAATTGATGCAAACAATCTTCAGTATGCTTTCATCGCAGCTTATGGAACATTACACTTGAAAAATTGTGTTATAGTAGGTGATGGAAAGTCTGTTACAACACATGGAATTTCAATTTCTCCCAACTCTGTGCTAGAAACGGACCATTGTGAAATATATAACTTTAGTACAGGAATTCTTTGCAATAAAGATTCAAAAGTTATATTGAGGTAAGTAGAATAGAAATCAAAGATGATATTATAGATTTTTTTTTTTTTGTTAACATTGATAATTCATACATTTTTGCAATCCGAACATTATTGCGCCAGACTTTCCTACATAAGAAATCTGTGTAATGCTGAAAATGTGAATATAGCTTTTTTTCTTCATATCAATTCCAATTTTGTTTTAGGGATTCAGTCATTCGTGATTGCTTTTGGGGTATGAGGGTATTGTCTGGTTGCAGTGTAACATTAATTAATTCTTCTATCAAAGATTGTAAAGAAAATGGTATTCTAGTGAATGATGATGATCTCACCGAAGGTCATGGTGATAGCGACATCCTCAAAGAGTAATATTTTTCCTTCATTTCTACTATTATTTGAATGTGTAAGAAATTAATATATTTTCTGCTTCAGCTTACATGGATTTAAACTCATGTCATCAACAATCCAAAATGTGAAATTAGCTAATTCTGTTATAAAGAAAATTGGGCAAGCTGCTTATGGAACGGTGAATGATAATCACATGGAATGATTGGAGAAAAATGGTTATAACTATGCATAAGACTATATAATGGTATCTATATATTTAATATGTCCAATATATAAAACTTAGTATAAATATTATTAGTGTACGTTAATATAATAATTTGATAAAATAAATGTTTTTTTGTATAAAGTATTTTGTTAATTATAAACTCTTAAAAAGAAATCAATAATTTAATTTTATTCAATGATAATTGTCCAATATTTACTTTTATATTTTCTTATATGTAAAGAAACTCTACTTTTCTTGTTAAAATACTGTTTCGTATTGTAATCTCTATCTACTCCGCAGTTTTAATTTGAAAAATAAATTAATTTTGTTTTTAAAGATCTTGTAAAACTTTTAAATATTGCGGATTTTTGGATTCACATATAACTATAAATAAAACATAAGTATAAATAAAATATAAATATAAATAAAATAATTTATTAACCGTTCAATACTTATAATCCAATAATCTAATTTAAAGTTATTTATATGAAATTCAGAAAAAACGTTATTTATAAAAAAAGCTAAAAAAAATATCAACATATAATAATCGATAAAACCATGGTTTTATGCAATGCTATGCATGCATTTCTCATAAAAAGGACTCAGTTATTGGTGACTTAATATATACTTATATTATTTACATAAAATATTTTGAACATCAGTTTAAGCAACATCATAAAAAGCGTGTGACTATCAGATGTTTCTAAAATGTCCTTTGTCGCAATTATTTTCTCACTTTATCTGGAGCTATCATATTTGGGACTGTTTTTAGCAATTGACGGAATTGGCCTTTGAACAAATCCCATTGACTAGTAAATCGTAAATTCATACCGAATTCTTTACAAACTTGCCGAAAAACTGGATACAAATATGGCAATTCGGCGTGATCTAACGTTGGAAATAAATGGTGTAAACCGTGATCACCAAAAGTTGTTAAAACCAGAAATAATGAACCTGTGACTTCCTGTCTCTCCATAACCGTGTCAATCTGAAATTTACCGAAATCCAAATCTTCTCTAGGGGTATCTCCGTGATGATAAATTTCTGGATGATGGTGTGCTGCGTTGAAAGCGGTTACACCAAAGAAAAAACTTGCTATTACCACAATCATGAGCCATATTTTTAACGTGGAGATCACAGGCAAACTTGATGTGAGCAGCATTGCCAAAGGCAAAGAGAATGGAATCACCTCTTGCCATAACGGGGTATGAAGTCTGCTTCTTTCTATAGCATCCAGCACTCTAAAAATTATATTGTCGCTTAAAATTTTATACCGCGAATGGTTTAAAATTTATAAGTAATAATTTGCATAAACTGTACTTTTATCAGCATTTCAACCGCCTGGCAGTTGGTAAATTTATAGTCAGCGATATATAGTGTGAGCAGTGGAATTTACAAATTTTTCAAAATATTAATGTTAGAAATTAAAATAATAAAACATACCTCGATAAATATTGCGTGATATAGAGACTGGCATAAAATACAGGTGACACAGTCCAAGAAATATACCTCAAAATACTTTTTTCTTTTGATTGCCATGACAAAAACGGTTCGGCTATGCTGAGCTCCATGTCGACCAGGGTGTTTGGATGCAAGTGATGTGACAAGGCATGCGATATTCGCCATTCTCTTAAAGTTTAGAAAAGATTATTTAAATTATGATGGGGAAAGATTTTTTCAATTTATTATTTTTATTTTATGACGATAACTTTGCCCTTCTTAAGGAGAATCTTACAAATTTTTATACAAAACCCGCCAACGCTGCGAATTTTACTTTTTGAGGCGATCTGATTGTGTCGAAAGATAAACCATTAACTTGAGTCAAAAATATTGTAACGACAATAGACATTGTCGCCAAAGGGGTCAAAACTCGAGGGGTAAAAATCGTCGTTAAGAAATGTAAAATCCTCCGAGGAGGCCTGTCGGGTCCAGGCGCGAGCCCTTGGACCCACTTATAGTGTATAGTGGTGTGTGTTGTGCCAGGAGAGAAGAACCTGTTCCAGCAAAGGTCAGATTGTTTTGTTTAGTAGCTATTCCCTCCGTAACTCCGTCGCTCTGTCATTTATAATAATTAAAGATTTGTTAGTACGATAGAGTTTAGGGATGGGACATGACTGTACGTAGGCACAGTCATGCCCTCACACCTGTAATCATAATTAGTTAAATTAGATAAGATAAAAGCACATTCTGTTTCATTCGTGTTGTCAGTTCCACAGGTAATTACAGGCTGTTCATAGAAGTCGGGTTAAGGAGTTGGAGTAACCCTTTCGTAAAGGGAGTGTAATGCTAAAATTTAATAAATGGCCGTCATTGCACGTCACCAAGAAAGGAAGTTCAACCCCACTCGTCACAATAAGTAAAAGGTTTAGTTTTTACAGAAAACAATATATTCACCTGTGATTCATCATAGATAAATTAAAAGCATACATTCTCCAGTTGTTTCTTTGATGAAAGAAATTATGTGCTGCTATTGTTGTCCAAGTCAAAAATAACGCGGCTACAAATATGAACGGGCAATAGGCTGTTGCTAGCATTGAACTAATAAATGTACCCAGAATGAAACAATCTAATATAAGTTTGGATTTTTTCTTGGCTATTTTTGGTATATTTTTGATTTCTTCTCGAACACGACGTTTCAATGTTCTATAGAAGCCGTTTTCATGGTATGTTAATAATGAGTGACTTGGTGTTTGAGCATCTCGCACATAAAATTTTGGTAAGAGCTTTTCGGCAGCCAGTGATATGTGATGTGCTTCGAAAGCTGCGGTTATATCAGTGTTCTGAAAAAAGACAACCGTAATTATTAAATGAGAAATTAAAATGCTAACTTGTTTCTTAAGATAATTCGTTGAAGCTTGTTGATTTTTATCTGAAATTCAATAGACAATTGTATTTAATTTGCTGATGATATTTCATACCAACTTTTCTGAATGATTTTGCTATACATAATGCAAAAGTTTACCTGTGTCATTTCCAGCCATTCTTTACCACCTGGATGATTTTCAACAAATTTTGTTAGATCGTATAATTTATTATGGATCCTCCACAAGCCTTCTGCTCCTCCATCTAATCTTTGGCCCAATATCCATCGATCTGTTGATCTTGGGAGAACGTCTCTTAATGATGGATAGTGCGTGTGAGTATTACATTCACCTGAAAAAATATAAATAAATTAATGATAATATGAAATTTACAAATTTATCAACCTTTTATTATTTAGTCGTTCAATTTTATAAATATACACTGAGACTGATCTCACTTGGGGTTATCTGCACCACCCGGAACAAAGTACACATTTTAGAGAAATTTTAGATAATTATTTTAATACATATAAATACCGGTCAATTTATTTCTGATTTGAATTGCATTTTTGCTATTTCATATTAAAATAATAAAATGTAACGAACACTCTGAATATTTGAAAATGCATAATTGAAAGCCGTAAAATCATATACGCTCTTTCGCACACTAATTATTACGCATTATCTATGAATAAATTATATTTTTTTTTAATTTTGTAGTTTACATACCGTCAACAATGTCTCACATTCACGATAATAGAACTTTTGTTATGATATTAGGCATAGCAGAAATATTTCATATTGCTGAGGTTGTTAATTTCGATAAATATTAATTTGCAAGCATATTCATAACTGTCATATTTCTGCATGATTCTATTTTTTTGTTAGATCTATTTTATAATCTATGATATTCTTTATATTAGATAAGTATGGTTTTTATAACCGAAACAGCGATAACCTCAAGAGATCATCAATGCAAAATTACTTCAGTAGTTAACAAACTGCCTTGACCATAAACCTTGACATAGAACACAATACCAAGTTTTAGGATTTGTATATTCAATTTTCAGTAATTTTTACTTCTATTTTTACATTAATTAAATATTTTTCAAAATTAAGTTAATAAAAAGAACATCAAAATTACTAAAAATTTAATTAACTAACACATCATGTATTATTCACTATAATATTTTGTATATAAGTCCTTACTAACTTCCACTATAGTTTACAATTTATAATAGCAAATCAAAAAGTGTAAAGTATAATCTATTGTGATTGTATTGATTCCTTAAATAAATGTATTCATTTATTATCACCAATTTTATTTCATATAAATATATGACAACTAATATAATATCATAAAAAGATTAAAAATTCTATTACAGTTGAGAAACTTGAAACAAAAAGTTGGACTGGAATGTTGTTATTGATAATAACAACAATGTGTATGGAAAATAATATTGCATTAGCAATCAGTAA